TTTATATTCAAGGTGGTACACCTACTGAGAAGATATTACCATCCAATGCATAGTAGTAGCAATAGTGATATTATAAATATCAATACAAATGCTTTTGGTTGTGTAATTAAGTTATTTATTAAAGAATAATATAACTACTTCGTTTTTTCGAAAGTAACTACTAGTGAAAGAAATGTATTAAGTCATCAATATCTCTACTAGTTTTGTATGATTATAACTATAATCTTCCAAAGAATTAATATAACTATTATAAGAGTCAGAGGAGAGGCCATCCAATGCAAGAGAAATGTTTCATTATATTAATCACTATCAGGTGAATTATATATAAAAATATATTAATTGCCTACCCAGTGAACCAAATATACAAATAAAACATAAATCACTACCAGATGAACCATATATAAAATAAATATATTAATTACTATCTAGTTAATACTAAGGTGCTTTCAGAGCTCAAATTTTTGCAGCTCCAGGAGTTCATTATAGAATTTGGTTTATTGTTCTTCATACTTTTCAAGTCTGATCTTTTATTCCTCTTCATTAATATTGATACCATAATTTCTTAGAGAATTTTTAGTTTAAGAGCAGAGTTCTGTGTTTAATTTTTCTATTTCTAAACTTTTTTTATTTCTAAACAATATTCTTTCCAGTTGTTCATCCATATTTTCTTTAACTTTTCTTTGATGGAGAACTTCTGCCTGCACATCTTAAAATTCTTTTGTGCTGGTAGGATAAATTATATTTCTTCCTTGTTAAGAGTAACCCATAATTCTGCAGAGAAATTTTTGCTTGAGAATATAGCTCTTCTGCATACCACTTATTCTGTTCTAAACAAAAATTCTTTCTCTTTAGTCACTCTACATTTTCTCCAATTTATTTATATCATCTTGTTGATGCAAATTTTTGCTTTGAACATTCCAATATTGTATTATCAGGAATATTAAAAGTGACATTTAAAATTCCATGTCCCTTCATATTATTAAAAAATGTCTTATTTATTTTATTCCATATATACAATGTCTTTTATCATATTATCTAATATTGAATATCTTGACATTAACATCATTCTTTGTCACTTAGTGGTCGTTTGCCAGTCATCTTCTAGTCAATAAATATACTTCTGTCTTTTTAAAGATTTTGTACACTTCTTGATGGCCAATTTAAATCAATATTAGTTATTAGGAATATATGTATCACTTCAACTGATTTATATATTTTACGAAAATTTGCTTCCCTTGTTTGATGCTCCTCATTTTTTTTATAGTACATATGGAGTTTTTTGCTCACTTAACCATTAGATTTAACAGTTAGATAATAATTAAATGTGATTTTTTTTCATTTCTTTGTTAAATTTGGTTGATTTGATAAAAAAATTTGGTTTAGATAATATTTAAATCTTCAATAATTTATGTAATTTATTTTTTTTTTTTTTAGAAAGGAATTAAAAAAATTTTTTCTTTAGAATTATTTTTATTTTTTTGTCTTTTTGCATATTATTTAATCAAATTTTAAAAATGGTTTCTTTTTTATTTTCTGTTGATACTTTAATCATACATATCAGGAGATTGTATTTCAAATATCAAATAAATCAAGTAGTGTTATCTATATCAACTATGATCAATTGAATGCTCATATGAGAAGTGAGAAAATACTTGTGTATGATATATCATATTAATAGATGATATCTTATCTGAATGCATAATGTTCTTGATTTTGTTTGATGATATAGTGAAATGAAGGTAATGTAATAGATTAACTCTGGTGAAAAGTGGATCATAATATATATTCCAAAGTAAAGGTGAAATAGTTTCATCCTGGTTGATTTTTGAACAATTTCTATTTATAAGTTTTGATGATATCTCTTTTTTTTTTAGTATCATTTTTTTAAAAAATAAAAAAAATATTAAAAAATAAAAAATTTAATACTTTTTAAAGCTTAAAATATCTTTAATATTTTTAAATTATGACTATCAAGAACCAGTAAAAACTTTTAACCATTAGCATAATTTTGTCGGAATGGGAGCCAATTTTTCATGGACTTCATCTATATGTCCACATATTGCACATTCTTGTGCTTTAATTAAGGATGGTGTGAAATATTTAAAAGAATAAAATATTTAAAAAATAAAAAATTTAATAGTACTTTTTAAATCTTGAAAATTTTCAATAAATATCTTAAATATTTTTAGATTATGACTATCAAGACCAGTAAAAACTTTTCAATTGTTCATGGACTTCTTCCATGTGTTCGCATATAGCACATTCTTGTGCTTTAATCAAGAATGGTGTGAAATATTTAAAAAATAAAATTATCTATTATTTAAAGTTATATGTGTTTCAAATATACTTATATTATCTGTCTTGAAGAACTAGAATCATGAATACTTAATAACAAAGTTGGTGATGATATAATATTAATTTGAAATAATTTTGATAAATTATTATGATTGTTGTGATTTGTAATATTATAATTTTTTGAAAATATAATAAAATGTGAGAGAATAAAATTATATTTTTAATCAAGTTATCAGATTCATCTCTATTTTATTTATAGTTCCTTTATAAAAACTCTTAAGACAATATAGAAAACATTTTCCAAGTTTGAAATTATGAATCTAATCATCAAAATATGTAGTATAATAAGTTAAATGTTTGTAAATAAACTTTAATAGTAACTTGTCGATTTAAGCCTAATACAGAAATATACTCTAATTTCAGCATTTCAACAACTTGTTTTTGTTTGATTATTAAATTCAGGCATTGGAATATTGAGAGTAGTGATATGTATTTTAAATCAATGCAGTCTTGTCTATTTTATTAAAAGTAAGGAATTATAAATTTACACTCATCCCTGATGAGTATTAATGTAAATATTAATAAATAAAAATACTTTGTAATATAAACTACCACTCCTAATGGAGACAGACCATAATGGAGTTTCAATTTCAAGTTCCACAATTGTGATATCAATAAGAACTTACTGACCGAATGCCCCAAAAAAATCAATTCAATGTATATCAGTCGTAAGTGTGATAATCCTGCTGAAAATATTAAATTCTTCTAAGACACGCATGATTCCTTGTGCGATATTTACTCCAGAATGTTTAATTTCAAAAGGAATAATGTCGAGAAGAAAATTACAAAGATTCCAACCGGAATCTATGTAGTGAATGGTCAGTCTAACTGACTTATCAAGTATAGTATCATCTACTCGCTCAAGATATTTCCAAAGAAAGTAATGAACTCATTGTCTATGATAGAAAACGCCTTTAATCTGAAAGGTCATGGCTGCTTAAATGTTGGTCACGAATTTTTCGCAAAGTTGCGGCTGACCTGCTTAAGCTGATCTTTAATGGTGGTGTAGTGAAGCAATACATTGGTACTCATGTATTACCATTTTATAAAAAGTTTGAGAATGTAAATATGTAAATGATTTTAAAATTATTAATCTTTCCCTTTTTTTTATATCTTTTTATATAATGCTAAGTGGCTGTGTTCTGTGTAATTCATATTTACTGAAACATTACTGAAGCTACACAGCCTATTTTACTTTAAGATATTACTGATTATTTTAGTTTTTTTTTTCCTAATTTTTCTAATAATAATATTTTCTAGTATCCATTAAATTTAATATTCTTTCATATTATAAGAAAACATATTTGGTTCTGCATATTTACAGAAATGTGAATAAAATTATTTTTTCGAATTATTATCTAGCATGAAAACAACCAGTAGAACTGTTAAATTAATCTATGGTAAGAAGATAATCTATTGCGATCATTATCATTATTAACATGTGAAAGGCTGAAGGATTTTTGATCTTTCATTCCAGGTGGCTATGCTTTGTATAATTTATTAAACTGCTACACAGCACTTTATTACAAGATATTCATGATTTCCTTTTTTTAAGGCTTTTTTTTTAATTTCATAAACTTCCAAATAAAATTTAATTGGTTAAGGTGGATAATACACCTATCCTTACTGGCAAAAGGTCGAATAAAATTATTTCATCTTTGCATAAATTTTGTATAGAATAGAACCATTAATTTAGTCCATTATTTATTCACAATATAAAGAAATAAATCACTAGAATGCAAGAGGGAAGCGAGAGAAGTTCAATCGCTATATATATTATTGATTGATTTTTCTTTTATTTACTTTAACTTTATTTATGTGAACATGTGAAAGATTTCAAAAATAATTGATCTTCCTAGCAGGTGTAGCAGGTGGCTATGTTTGTGGAATTTACGTAATTGCAGCCATACGGGCCTTTTCACTTTAAGTTAAAGCTGTTATTTCAAGATAACCTGAAACATTCGAATAAAATTATTACACGTGTAAATAATAAATCACTTTTAATTAGTTATTTTGTGCAACAAATAATACTTTGAGCTATCCGATTAAATATCTGATAAAAATAATAAAGTACATTTATCGAGAGTGAAATATAATATGCATTACGCGATATTTATGTCAAAATAAAAGCATAATATAAAACATTAGATCAAAAATATAACGAATATATAAGTCAAAAAAAGTATAAAATTTCCCTTGCTGATATTATGCATTTTATTAGAGAGATGTACTGTGATTTTAGGATTAATGGAAATATTGTATACTAAATAGTTATTGGATGGGATATCGGTCTTCGACCGATATCCCATCCAATAACTGAGTTATAGTTCGGTCATTAGGAATACTGCGGTGACCAATGATTTCAATGGGTCAGTAAAATCCCGCATATTCCTAATCGACTGAACAATAACTATTTATAGCATTGTCGAGTAGCTATTATTTAGTGGAAATTTATCTAATTATATTTTATAATTCGCAATAAGTCAATAACGTTAATAACGTTAATAGTAAATTAATAATAACTATAATTTATTAAATATTCTTATCACTTAATTCCACTGAAGTAAAATAAGTTATACGTGAATAAATATAATAAAACTTTACCAATTAATTTACCATTACATTTGTTCATAATTAACTACAATGTATAATTTAATCATAAATTTGCTAAATGCCATCTTCAACCAATTCAATACACCACTATAAAATTTAATTATAATTTAATTATAGATCAATGATATAGTAAACATATTTTATAAACTTTAACAAATAAACATACCTCATCATTTCCACCAATTCTTTCATTATGACCGACAACTTCTTGATAAGTTTTATTATCATTAGTAAATGTGAATTCATGACTTCGTAAAATATAATTTCCAGAATTCTTCAAAGTAATTATATCTTTTGATAGCATACAATCATTATTATTTTTTGCTGAATTAGTCGCCATGAGTTGACATCTTGTCTCATTCTTAAAGGATGTAATGGATACTATAATGTAATATATATATAAATATATTATATTTATGGATAAAATAATAAACAAAAATGTCACATTTATACATACCTTCAGCATTTTGAGTTACAGGAGATTTATAACTTTGGTCTATATCTACCTTTTTTCCAGTGGTTTTATGAAACAAATAAAAAGTATTTCCGTAAAAAACAGGTTCAGATTCAGAAGGCTTATCTGGTAATTTATCAGCTGTGGAAATAACCCATATAGAATTAAGTACTAGAAATGTTTGTTCCACAAATACCTAAAATTTTTTGAGAATTATTAGTCAACAAATGAATTATTAATAATAAATACAATGTTATATATATATACAAGTTACTACTACTAACAATTGGACATTTTGAACCTTTTTGATATTTTATATCATCACAACAAGATAAATATTTTCCAGTTGCAACATGTTTTAAAGCAATACATGAACCATTATTAATTTTTTCTTTTAATAAACTTTGATCAAAATATTTTAATAATTCTTTCATTGAATTAATATTATTTAAATTATCATAAATAAATCTATGTTGAATAGAAAATGTTGATAATGCATTCATAAATAATCTCTTTTGTTCTTCAAATTCATTAATTTCTGCTTCATAACAAAGTTGTTGAAAATTATTTAAATTTTTTAAAATTTCTTCTTCATTTTTAAATTTATCATTGTCAAATTTTAATCTTTTTAATTTTCTTTTGACAGAATTTTTATAAGATTCAAAAGAAATATCTGATTTTATAATATTTATAATTTCATTAAAAGAATTTGCTTCAGAAACATTAATCGATGGATGAATTAACGTTTTGCAAAATTTTAATATATTTTCATCTATTGTAATATTATTTTGATAACAGAATGATTTTAATTTATTTAACCACACTTCTGGATGCCCAGTTCCATTGTATATTTCAGGTTCCATCGTAAAGAAGCATAGTTTATTGGACATAAACATTTATTGTTCAATATATATATGGTAACGTGTATTGGTACCATTGGTACCACAACGGAATATAAAACTCCGAGTAATCATCGTAAAAGGAGCGTCCCACGTGACAAATATGTGACAAAAGAAATTCACGACAAAATGTCATGTGAATTTTCGTGACAAAAGTTTCGCTGCGCCATGATACGGATGACACGATTGATACGCATAGACGCATAGTGTCGTCCTCTACATAATTGCATTGTACTGTACCTCATGGAATTTAATTCCAGTATTTGGTTTGGACGATAATTAACACAATTGGATTTGGACATGTCCAGAGGATATACGCCTTTATTTTAAACTTAAAATAAAAATACTCTGGGTATACCCTATTTAAAAAAATTGAATTATACCCGAGGTATTTTGTATGGAACATAGCCAAAATTAACCAGAATTAGTTTAATTCTACCAGAATTAAAATTTTTATCCACGTATTATTCCATAATAAAGGACGCCGAAAGGGAATCTTTGTAGTCAGTACGAATTAATCATCACGTATTAATAGAACTAAAATAGCATCCATGTTGTTACTATTATAAAGGGCAAATGTAAAAGGCATTTATTTATATATAAAAATTTTTACATATATCACCTTCCCGAGAATTCGAACTAATATTAAGTAACAAAGCATCTTTTAATAATGTACTAAGGTAGTGATCTCTTAATAAATTTGTATTATCTATAATCCTGATAAAAAAACCAAATATACTGTATCCACTATATTCCATTATATATGAGTCCTCTTCAAATTATTTACTTTCATACAGTTCAATACACCACTGTAAATTAAAAATTTAGAAAATTAAAAAAAGTAAAAAAAAAACCAAAAACCAATCTTTAATTAGATACTTTACCATATCATTCAAATCAATTCTTCCTTCATGTCCCACAACTTCCTGATATGTTTCATTATCAATAGTAAAAGGAAATGCATGACTGTGTAATATAAAATTGTCTACCTCGTCACGTAGATTTATTATCTCTTTCGATTTTATAAAAATTTTATTGTTATCTGATGAATCACTATTTATAAAATACGGATTATAATAAGCATCGGTACAGTTTACTGTAATATATAAGTTATTATTGATTATTACATATTTATAATTTTATAAATAATTAAACAATCTATATAAAGTACTATACCTTCCCAATTTCCAGTTGAAGGAGATTTGGATTCATTGGATATTATCAAATTTTTATCGGTAGCTTCGTTCTTTAAACAAATTTTACTTCCATAAGTAACCGGATTACCTCCATTTTTTTGATCAGGGTCCAAAACGATCCATAAAGAATTTGGATCGAATAAAGTTTGATTGGCGTAAACCTTTAATAAATATAATTTAATATTAAAATGAATTAAAAAAAAAAAAATTACAAGAAAACTTACGTACAATATTATTCGTAGAACCCGTTATATACCGTACATCACAACTCGTCAAATATCTTCTAGTTGAGTCATGTCTTAAAGTAATACATGAACCAAAATGAATTAATTTTCGTTTTCTTAAAACGCTTTGATTAAAATATATGATTAAATCATTTAAAGATTTGATTTTTTCTAAATTATTATTAATAAAATAATAATGAAAAGAATCTTTAGAAAATTTCTTTAATAATAATCTTTTTTGTTCCTTCAGATCATTAATTTCTGCTTCATAACAATACTCTCTAAATATATTAATGAATTGAGTATGATTCTCATCTTCGGGATCAAATTTTAACACTTGTAATTTTTCTTTAACGGAATATTTAAATAAGGTAAAGAGAGTATCGGTTTTTAAAATATTTAAAATTTCTTCAAAGGTATTCGCTTTAGATACGTTAATCGAAGGATGAATCATTGATTTACAAAATTCTAGAATATCTTTGTCTTTCGTAATTTGATTTTTATAACAAAATATTTTAATATTATTTAACCATACTTCTGGATGTATTTTTTCATCGTATTTTACAAGTTCCATGATTTTAAAATTTTTTTTTTTTTTTTAACGATGGGAATTTATCCACCTATTTATATAAACTATTTGTATTACAGTCATTGATATAATTAAAGTCTGTTGGTTGCCTGTCCATTTGCTATCATGACTATGTGATGTAATCAAACTAACCATCCTCAAGTCCGCAGAAATGACATCGAAATGACATTTTGTCATATATGTCATATATTGTGAAGCTAAAAGTAGGCCAGAATTAGGACGAGTAAACTTACGAAACTGGCATTTGTCATTTAGTCATTTTGAGGTCATTCACTACACTAGATCACTCATGGTAATCAGTTGATGTGATCAATTATAAAAACACTAGAATATTTTACTTACTCATGAATTTGCCACCACCTCATCGTACAAGGACAAAATTAATTAAAATTGATTTATCAAAAAATTTATTGTTTTTAAAAAAGTTATTCGATATTTCACAATTAATATGATTAATAAATTATGGCAATAAGAGTTATTCATTTTCAAATAATTCAATACACCACTGAAATAGACAAATCATTTTAATAACTCTATCATTTTTTGATATAAAAAAGAACATGGCCAATTTTAATTACGCACTATACCTTATCATTCCCGTCAACTCTTCCTTCATGCCCAACAACTTCTTGATATGTTTCATTATCAATAGTAAAAGGAAATTCATTACTACGTAATATAAATTTGACATCCCCATCACGTATATTTATTATTTCTTTCGATTTTATATAAGTACTATCATCGTTATTTGTTGAATCACTTTCTATCAAATGCATATGTCGACTAAGAATACAACTTACTGTAATATAAAAAAATCAATTAATTAACTTAATAATTCTAATAAATGACTGAATATGTTAGGTCACTTAGGTGTACTGTACCTTCCCAATTCCCAGTTGAAGGGGATTTGTAAGTCTTAGATATAACTATGTTTTCGTTAACACCTTTATTTAAAAAATATACTTTGCTTTTTCCATAAATAATCGGGTTGCTTTCATTTTTTTGGTCATAGTCTGAAACGATCCATAAAGAATTCGGATTGGATAGAGTTTGGCTAGCGAAAACCTTAATCGGTATAATTTTAACATTAAACTAAAGAAAAAATAATAAGTATATATAATAAGATTATTACATACAATTTTTCTCAAAGAGCCCGTTTTATAACGCACATTACAACTCGTTAAATATTTTCCAGTTGCGACATGTTTTAGAGTGATACATGAACCAAAACGAATCAATTTTCGTTGTTCTAAAAAGCTTTGATTAAAATATACGACTAAATCATTTAATGATTTAATTTTCTCTAAATTATCATTAATAAAATAATATTCCAAAGAATCATTGGATAATTTCTTTAGTAATAATTTTTTCTGTCTTTCCACATCATTAATTTCTGCTTCATAACAATATTTTCTAAATATACTAATAAATTGAACATGATCCTCGTTTTTTGGATCAAATTTTAATTTTTGTAATTTTTCTTCAACGGAATATTTAAATAAAGTAAAAAGGGCATCAGTTTTTAAAATATTTAAAATTTCGTCAAAGGTACTTGCTTTAGATACGTCAATCGAAGGATGAACCATGGATTTACAAAATTCCATAATATCTTCCTTTTTTGTAATTTGATTTTTAAAACAACATGATTTAATCTTATTTAACCATACTACTGGGTGTATGGTTTCATCGTACTCTACAGGTTCCATTGATTTTCAATTTTAAATGACGATATGCCGGAAATTTGTCGTCTTATTTATATCAAATAATTTGTACTACACCAGGAAAATCTTGGAACAAATAAAGTCATCCGACATATAAATGAGAAGATTTTCATAATCTTCATAAGAAGATGCCTCAATCAGGCGATTGTCAATAGATCATCTTTGAAAATCTCGAATCATACATTATATTCTTATTCATTTCTTTCTCGATTTTAACCGAGATGAGTTTGCGCACCTCTACTTATTTGATGATTCGTTTGACCTTTCAAAATTAATCTTATTTGCAATAACAATTATTTCATTATATGAAACGGATCCTTTAACAATTCAATAATATCATAATATTTTTTAAAAACATTTAATGTTGATTATTAAATATTCAGATAATTTGAAAAATTATAATAAATATTATTCGATCATTCGATCATTCGATCATTCACATTTAAATTATTGTGATTTCTTACAATAAATGTGTATTGAAAATATTTTACTAAATTATATACAAAAAATTTATCCGATAAGTTATTCATTTTCAAACAATTCAATACACCACTGTAATGAAAAATTAATTATTAATTTAAAGGAATTATTTTATATATAAAAAAAGAACATGCCCAATTTTTAATTACGCACTATACCTTATCATTCCCTTCAACTCTTCCTTCATGCCCAACAACTTCTTGATATGTTTCATTATCAATAGTAAAAGGAAATTCATGGCTACGTAATATAAAATTGCTTTCTACATGACGTATATTTACTATTTCTTTCGATTTTATATAAGTATTATTGTTATTTGTTGAATCACTATTTATCAAATATTCATAATAACTGCCAGAACAGCTTACTGTAATATAAAAAATAATTTAATTAACGTAATGATTCTATTAAATGATTAAATATAGTAGGTATACCGTATACTGTACCTTCCCAATTTCCAGTTGAAGGGGATTTGTAATAATCGGATATAAACAAGATTTCAAATCTACCCGCTTTATTTTCTAAGTAAACTTCACTTTTTCCATAAATAATCGGATCCCTATTATTGTTTTGATCAGGGCCTGAAACGATCCATAAAGAATTTGGATTGGATAAAGTTTGACTGCCAAAAACCTTTAATAAATATAATTTAGAATCAAACTAAATAAAAAAAAAAACTAAATAAAAAGAAGTTTACGTACAATATTTTCCTTAGAGCCTGTTTTATACTGTACATTACAACTAGTTAAATATTTCCCAGTAGCAACATGTTTTAAAGTAATACATGATCCCAAACGAATCAATTTTTGTTGTTCTAAAAAGCTTTGATTAAAATACATGATTAAATCATTTAATGATTTAATTTTTTCTAAATTATTATTAATAAAATAATAATGAAAAGAATCCTTAGATAATTTTTTTAGTAACAATTTTTTTTGCTCCTCCACATCATTGATTTCCGCTTCATAACAATATTCCCTGAATAAATTAATGAATTGAACATAATTCTTATTTTCTGGATCAAATTTTAACTTTTGTAATTTTTCTTTAATGGAATGTTTAAATGAGATAAAAAAGATATCTTTTTTTAAGATATTTAAAATTTCTTCAAAGGTATTCGCTTTATATACGCTAATCGAAGGATGAATCATGAATTTACAAATTTCTATAATATCTTCTTTTTTTGTAATTTGATTTTTATAACAGTATAATTTGATCTTATTTAACCATACTTCTGGATTTATGGTTTCATCGTACTTTATAAGTTCCATGATTTTCGGACCGCGCTTCACAAAACGGACGTTACGATTTATTTTATAATGACGATATTCCATTTTCCCACCTATTTATATCAAATCATTTGTACTACACCAGGGAAAATCTTGGAATAAAGTCATCTGACAATTAAGTTGAGAATTTCGCAATCTTCATAATAAGATGCCACAATCAGGCAATTGTCAATAGATCATCTTTGAAAATCTCGATTACTTTTTCGATAACGTATAATCTTAACCATTATACGAGATGAGTTCCTTCAAAATTAATCAACAACTCAACATTAATCTGATAGTTTTTTAAATACATTAGTTAATTTGAAAAGTTAAAATTAAAATTATTCGATCATTCGATCATTCACATTTAAAAAGGTTAAATTATCGTGATTTTTTTACAATAAATACGTATTTATAACATTTTACTATATACAAAAAATTTATCCAATAAGTTATTTATTTTCAAATAATTCAATACACCACTGAAATAAAAAAATCATTTTAATAACTCGAATCATTTTTGATATAAAAAAAGAATATGGCCAATATTATTAAAAATTATACCTTATCATTCTCGTCAACTCTTCCTTTATGTCCAACAATTTCTTGATATGTTTCGTTTTTCAATAGTAAAAGGGAATTCATGACTACGTAATACTAAGTTGTCATTCACATCACGTATATATACTATTTCTTTCGATTTTATATAAGTATCATTATTATTTGTCGAATCACTTTCTATCAAATGCTTATTAAAAATACTATCAATACTTACACTTACTGTAAATAAAAATAATTTAATTAACATAATGATTCTATTAAATGATTTAAAATATATTAGGTATACTGTATGTACCTTCCCAATTTCCAGTTGAAGGGGATTGTAATTATTAGATATCACCAAGTATTCAAGAATACCCTTATTTTTCTTTAAGTAAACTTCACTTTTTCCATAAATAATCGGATTCCCATTATTGTTTTGATCGCATGAAACGATCCATAAAGAATTTGATTTGGATAAAGCTTGGCTAGCGAAAACCTTTAACAAATATAATTTTATTAGTATTAAACCAAATAAAAAAACTAAGTAAAAAAGATTATTACATACAATACTTCTCTTAGAGCCCGTTTTATATTGTAAATCACAACTAGTTAAATATTTTCCAGTTGCGACATGTTTTAGAGTAATACATGAACCATAACGAATCAATTTTTGTTTGTTCTAAAAAGCTTTGATTGAAATAAATGATTAAATCATTTAATGAATTGATTTTCTCTAAATTATTATTAATAAAATAATATTGAAAAGAATCTTCAGGTAACTTTTCTAGTAACTGTTCTTCTACATTAATTTCCGCTTCATAACAATATTCTCTGAATATATTAATGAATTGAACATAATTCTTATCTTTTGGATCAAATTTTAACTTTTGTAATTTTGTTTTAACGGAATGTTTAAATGAGATAAAAAAGATATCATTTTTTAAAGTATTTGAAATTTCTTCAAAAGTATTCGCTTTAGATACGTTAATCGAAGGATGAATCATGGATTTACAAAATTCTATAATATCTTCTTTTTTTGTAATTTGATTTTTATAACAGTATAATTTGATCTTATTTAACCATACTTCTGGATGTGGTTTCATCGTACTTTATAAGTTCACGCTCCATCAAAAACGGATGTTACGATTTTCTGACGATATTCCATTTTCCCACCTATTTATATCAAATCATTTGTACTACACCGAGAAAATCTTCCGTATTTTGGTTAATTTATTGGTCATCTGACAAACTGATGATATATAAAATTTCAAATTTCTTTTTTAATGCTTTAATTTTCTCGATTCCTTTTCTTCATTTATCAAAAAGATGCCTCACACTAGTCAAAAAAGGAATATTTGGCCTTGATAAAATTCGGCCCGAATCAATGTCAATTCGGCCTCAATTAGTAATGATTTACGATTAGACTAAGATTTGACTTTGCCGAATAATGGTAATTTTGCAACCCATTTGAACCGAACTGGCCCTTTACCATGGCTTCCAGATAACTCATATTCTGGACATACTTTCACTTCATCATCATAGCAAGAGGCAACGCCGTGAAGAACGGAAGAAATAAATTCGCGTCTTGTTGCTTCGTTTGCACTAGTGACGTGAATGCAGGTCTTATGCTTCATAACCATATCCAAAACGTGCCCCAATATCTTTTTGTAATTGGTTGTGTTAGCTAACCCTCCATCGAACCTGGGGAGATCAATATAACTATCGGCTGTTAACCCAAATAACGTCTTGATTTGGGGAAATGTCCATGACGAAAATGGCTGTTGTGCTATAAAACATCCAAATTAATTTCTGTCAGACATGTTACGTGGTATTCTCAAAATAAACGATACTCACATGTGTCCACGACGATTGGGAGATCCACCTTGAATCCTTAAGTCCAGATTGCACTTGCCAAATCCTCATCATCAACTAAACAAATAATTTCTTTTTCACTGCCACGCTCACGATTTATAACGATATGTTTGTCCTCTGTCCCATCCGGAAATGTAAAACATGTGCGAAGCCGAGACTTCAAAGCTGATAAGGTTATTTGTCCACGGGTTAATGTCCACAGAAACTTTTTTGACTTACGCCCATGCAGTGAACTTCTTTCGTTTCAACAGGACGCTGTACGATGATATGTATGTGTTCGTCGGCTGACTGAGAATGGAAATATTTGCTAATTTTCGAAAGTGGAAGTAATTCCACACTACCAAGCTCCTCCTTGATATTAACGTTAATTTTTGTATTAACAAGGTCAAGCTTTTCGTTTTCTTCTTCGAGAGAAATGTCGACCTTCCATAGTTTAATGTCTTTGACGTCAACATTAGCGAAAGATTGTGTATTTTCCTCCTTGATAGGTTTCTTGAGTTCTCGGTCTTATTAACTTTTACATTGAAAGCATTTTCATAAGGGTTTTCACCTACGACCAAACAACTGAGAGTGATAGTTGACATAGGGATATTTGGTTCGGATAAAAAATGGTGTTACGTTCCGAAGTGAGAAAAATTTATTTCAGAGATTCCGAAAGTTTATATAGGCTTTTATGTCGCACAAGCCACAAGGATCACACGTTCACACCATTTCACGTGAACTTCGATTATTACGCTTCCGATACTTATTTTAATGAAAAGTCTTATTCAGTTACGTCACGTTATTAATTAATTATATAAAAGGAAAATAAAGCTGTAAGTTCTTTCAAACAGATACTCCTTTTATTTTGCAGTTTTCAGGGCCGGACGGTGAAAACATATATCGGAAGAAGAACCGGACTACTTCGTTATGAAACTTGTCACTTTAGATGGATACTGCCTCACGTCACCTATCAGTTGGCGGACTAATATTTGAAGTAGAATACTTAGTGAAAGCTAATCATTCTTTTTAATTTATAGATTCCCGCCGGCAAGAAATTTGTAAGAACATAACGAAGAGACGGATGATGATTCAACACGAGTAGTCACGTGAAAAGTATTTTGCTTAAAAATGGAATTATGGAAGACAATAGGCAAGTTCCTTAATATTCGTAACCATCCGAAAACTTTATTACTTTAATATAATCATTTAATTTTATTGTCATCATTGGCCGCAGCATAGACATCTGATAAGTGTTGTCACGTTATTCAAATAAAGTAAATTTAAAAACTCAATGACTTGCTTTTTTGAAAAGACCAGAAGAAAATTCAAAGACTCATTATTACAATTTCTACAATGTCTGAACTGTCAGATGAATGTAAAATGTAAAGTTTAATAATTTATTTAGCGCGCCGATATGTACTACAACAGTTTTATCGTTATAGATTTAAAAAATTAGGGAAAGCAATTCTGAAAATACAATAATACAATTTAGTTAAAGTAATTAGAAAATATGTTAAATTGTTATTTGTTGAAAATATAATTATCGTCTTCCGACTTTAAGTAATTTATTGCAATAATTTTTATTGATTTCTACACAAAGACAAATCAAAAACATGCATAACCTTCGCTTCAATTTTATAATCGTTATCGTTTGAATATTTCGCGATATAAGTTTAATATGCTGACTATTATAATATAGCATTATGACAAATTTTGGTGTAATTTTATTATGTAATTTGATTGGCCTGCTTTTTCCTATTATAAAAATTTTTATTACCTTTTCTTAAAATGGCACTAACTATGTCACATTTGCGCCACACTCAATCGTTCAGGTTACACTGGGTTGTCCTTCTGCGCCTCAAACACATTCGTTGCTTATTCGAAGTAATAAATTTCAGTATAAATTGCATTTTTATCAACATGTAATGCCAAATATCTATCCAATTCATCTGAAATACATAAAAGTAAAAAGAAAAAATAAAATAAAAAACATTCAAATATGAAAATTACACATAATAATATATTTGATTTAGATAGTAGGTTGAGTAAACAGCTTTATAAAATTTAGCTAACAAATTATTATTTGATTAAATTAATTTTAGCTAAGTAATTTCTTAATCATAAAATGGATTTTATGAATCTCATATAGGACACTGAAAGAGTATATTCTGAAGCGACATGTAATAGAAACTGTGTGAATTTATTAATTATCCCAAAAATGAAGTATAATTTTATTGCTAATATATTTCATCCTTAATGTAGATTCTTTTTTTTATAACATTTCTTAGAAAAGATCAGCTATTATTATTGTCCGGTCTCAGTTTTCTATACTTATTTATTTCCTTAATTCGTGATCCGCATAAAAAGTAGAAAATTTAACTATTAAAAATCGGGGCAACTTTCGGTATTATGCCTAAATTATTGAAAAAATCAAAATCAAAATAAAATTTATATTTTAAAATATATTTTTATTTGCAAATTAATAAAAGTATAAAAAATATGAAATATGTTTTTTTTCGCACCTGCGATATGTCGCATCTCCCTTTTTTGGCAATTTTTATATATAAATTATGTCGATCATTTTTATCACATGACTTTGTTAAGATTTCCCATTTTTTAAAAAATCCTGGCGTGAGACCTTATGCACTTACTATGTACTATAAGAAACCTTATACTATGTGTATTTTTGATCGCTCTACAAGTTTTCTTAATATACCAAAAAGGATTTAGAATGTCATTTTTGACTTTTATATGTAACATATTATAGGAGTGCGACATAACGCAGGTAGAGCTTGGACTCGCACTCATGTAACTCGAGTTGACTCGAGTTACATGAGTGCGAGTCCAAGCTCTACGCAGGTGACAAAGCCCAAAAATATTACTAACTTTAAAAGAATTAATAATTCCTGCATCACAAGGCTGCAAATGAGATGTAGTATTTGGTGGAAAAAAATGCACAGCCACATTTGTTAAAATTAAATTTTTATTTATGACATAGAGCATTGTCAACAAGTAAAAGAATATTGCAATGTTGTGATCGTATTCGTACATCCAATTTTGTTAGATAATCGTTTCAAATTGAAACTTGCATCCAAGCTGTTGAATTCCAATAGTAATTAACTGGCTGCGTAATATTCGTGGATTTTATGGATTTTAGTATATATGGATAAAGATTGGCTTCAATTTTTCAGCCCCAGTTGCATTACATGTAAGAAGAGTAACTCGCTTTTTGGATTTTTTTTTTCCAGAAAGTGATCCTTGTGCTAATATTTTTGAAGGTTCAAGATCCCAGTATAATCCTGAAAAAAAACATAAAATATTAGAATAATATTTGAATTTTTTTGAAGAAAATTAATGATTACCTGTTTCATCACAGTTAAAAATATCATTTAAATCATAATCCTTAATAATTTCACATAATTTTCTCGAGTTTTAAAAATTGATTTGGTAACTTGATTACAAATGATCAAGCAGCAGACTTATATGAATAGCACAAGAAATTTCAGCTACCATCACAAGAAGAGGATAGCCTATATTACTGTATATTTAAAAATGTGTGTTTTATTTAACACAATTATCATCAAAATAGAATACAAGAAATAAAGATTACTTATTATAGATTTAAAAGTCCAATCCGGTACTTTCCTAACATTCAAATTTTAAGAGGAATTTACTTTTAATTTAGATTAATACGATAGGCATGTGATATTAAATTCAATGTGATCAGGATCACGATACAATGTGATGACAAGATCCACCTACCACTACGGGATAGTTGATACAAGCAGAAAACCTGAGATCCTCAGTTGAGTTTATATGCTCTTTTCGCTTAATGAAGGGTTGCATTTTCCTTGTACTGCAATTATTAGTTCTAATCCAGCATATATTGTTGTTAAAAAATGAAATACTTTTCCCTTAAAAATAAAAGGATTTGAAATTGAAATTATATTTTTGTAAACAGTTGAACACAAATAGTTATTCTTTACATATTCATATGCTGCATGTGCGATAATTAATTCAATTTAAGTAGTAAAAAGCCATCTGAAATTTAGTAACTAATAAACAATCAAGTTCTGATTTTAACATGTCTGAACCTTCTATATGCAGGGTTGTGGTAGTATATATGTACTAAAAAATTAGTATTAGTATTGTACTAGTATACTGTACTAGCGGGTGTACTTACCGTAGTACTTAGTACAATGCAATTTATTTTAATTTTTAATCCCATTTTTAGAAAAATCACATGATCATTTTTAAAGCTAACCAATTAAATTTGATGTGTACTAATGTGTCTATACTAATAATCTTAAGGCCGCTCCAATTTAATTATTTGTTTAACGTACCCCTCCCCCTTCTATTTTTTCAAAAATCTGGATCCTATTAAACATATAGTAATAAATATGTTTAAAT